GAACCACAAAGACTTCTTGATTTTAAGCAGAAGCGTGCAATCGCTCGCCGTGTCATCCGTGATGCTAAACGCACTTTCTGGCGAGATTATGTCCCACCATCACCTCTGCTTCCTCTATGAGTGCAGTCTGGAAAAAAGTACGAAAACTGAGTGGTAAATATTCTCCTGACCCGGCTTTCCCGTTCTGTGGGTGCCGGTGGGTTTATATAGCAAACCCACTAGATTTGCCAATGAAAAATTGGCAATCATCTGTGTCCGTATTTCTCAGGGACTCCATCTATGCCCCTCATTTCTTTCCTCAAAGTCTGCCGAGAGTTAGCACCCTTGGACTTTTTTTTCTCTCATAGAAGAACAGTATAATGTGCCCTTTTACACTTCAAGAAAAACTGGAGGCAACACTCTCAGCTTGCCGATCATCGGCAGCTGGGCCCGACGACATTCATATTCGTATGCTACAACATTTACATCAGTCAGCCCTTGGCAGTCCTATTACGCCTTTACAATCTTATTTGGTCACAAGGAGTTCTTCCACAGCTGTGGAAATCCACCATTGTCTCCCTTTCTGCAAACCAGGCACTACGGGGCATGAAACCCCCACTATCGTCCATTGCTCTTATCAGGGGCAGTTTGCAAAGTGATGGAACGCCTAGAAAATAGACGTTTAGTGTGGTATTTAGACACACAACAGTCTCTCCACTCGTCAATATGGCTTCGTAAGGGACGTTTCTACCATAGACCCCTTACTACGCTTGGATACGAATGTTCGTAATGCCTCTGTGAATAACCACTCGGGTTTTTGCCAAATTTTTTTGGCCTTGAGAAGGCTATGACAAAACTTGGAGGTAAATTTTTTAGCCCAAGCCATCCTTAGGCCTTGGGCAATTTTACCTCCTTCCTTAAGAACTTTTTAATGAAGCTTTTCCGTGTTCGGGTTAATAATGTGCTCTCCCCGGCTTTATCCAAGTGAAGGGTTTCCCCCCAGGATGTTTTTGGCACAACACTTTTTTCCTTGCTATTAATGTTTTGGCCTCTAGCTTCCATCAAATATTTGGTCATCACTCATGTTGATGATTCGCTATTGCCTGTGCGGGCGTGACTGTCACTTTTTAAGTTTTCTCTCCGCATGCAGTCGACCGGTTTTTCCAAATTTGGGCCCACCACACGTGGGTTTTAAATTTTCCAGCAAAAAACCCCCCAAAATTACTTTCACTAGGCTCTGTCATCCCCGATCATCCTTTGTACTTAGGGCTCCCGAAATCCCTGAACGTGATAGTCAAGTTTCGGGGCCTCCTCTTTGACGAGGTTACCCTGGAAACCTCACATTACCTTGAAGGCAATTGTCACAGGGGGCAAACCCTTTTCTTAAAACCCTTGTCATTTTTCAGGGGCTGATCGTCAAACCCCTCCCCCGCCTACATTCCCCCCTTATTTTTCGAAACTTTGGTCACCATAATCGACTATTAGCGGCATCTCCTGCTATTTTCTCTTACCCTTAAACCCATTCACACCGGGGTTACTTTATGCCTTGGTGCTTTTGTCTTCCCCGTGAGACCTCAGCAGAAGCGAACGTTCCCCCTTATTGACCCGTGATCCCATTCCCTTGTATATGTAGCTCTCATGATCTCCGCAATCCTTCCATTTCAGAATGGGCCTGATATTAGTAGACATTCTTTGTTTGTTCGCCGCCCCCGTTTACTCTGTCCTTCTTCTTTGCCTTATTCGTCTTTTTTTCTTTAAATTTCCACCTTTCTATGTACATTAGATCTCACTTTTCCTACCCCCTGGGAAGTTCCGTGTTCGAGTCTGTTTTTTTTTCTTCTCCCTTGCTCGTAGCCCCCAAATGTCATGGTCGCTTCCCCCCTCTCTTTTTTTTGACCCCTTTTATCTCGTTCCTTTCCATTGCTTGTACATAGATGGCTCTAAGTTAATGACGGATAGGGTTCGCAGCAGGGTTTCCGGGCAGGGGGGCGTACAAGGCATTTTTTCTTCGGGAAATATTTTTACTGCTGAATTTTATGCCCTCCTTAAGCACTTTCGTATTTCTCTATGTCTGTGTCATCATTTGTGGTTGTCTCAGACCCCTTAGTGCTTTACAGGCTATACAGAAATTTGATACCCTACCCCTTAGTCCTCCTATCCAATTTTGGGTACGCCCCCATCTTTTCCAAGCATAAAAATAATTTTTTTTTGTTGGGTCCCCGGTCATGGGGTTTACCCTACGGGGAAATGAACAGGGAGACACTGCGCGCGGGCAGCAGTACATGGGCCCACCCTTTCATGTAGAGGTATTCCCCTTTAAAGACTATTTTGCTGAATACTTTCCCAACTTTTCACCCGTTGGCAACAACGTTGGTCTACTTTTCTCGGCAACAAAAATTTAATCTATTAAAAGAGTATAGGTTTTCTGGCCCCTTTTTTATACCCGTGTCGAGGTTGGGAGACTACTCTTCCCCTCTTCGCATTTGCCATATCGTCTTATCATGGGGAGGCGCCCCGCTCCCCTTTTGTGAGAATTGCAAGTTCCTTTCGTCAGCCACATTTTGTTTGGACTGCCCACTTTATCAACGAGCACGCAGAATTTACCCCGTGGTGTCTTTTCTCTGCGCTTCTCTTTACCCTTCCCCCTTTTCGCTGAGGACCCCCCTTTCATCCAGACTCTCTTTGACTTTTTTACAAAAACGCTTACTTCAAAATTTTATACCTTCACCCCCTTTTTCTTTCAAACCTTGCTACCCCCCTTTCCCCCCTATATCCCTGCCGCGTTTTTCTGTAACCTATGATCATCCCCCCCCCTTCTGCCCCTCCCCAAAACCCTCGCTTCCTTCCCTACCCGCAGCGCTGTAAGCCCTTGTGGCTTAGCGCTTCTTTTTATAAAAATAATTTAAAAAAGCAGAAGTGTTATAAGAAGGCAGGTATATGGAGAGAAAAGAAAAGGTGAAAAAGAGTGGTGAGAGAGTGCAAAAGGAGAGCAGATGATAAGTGGGAGAGGCACTGTCAAGAAATTTTAATGAAAATAAGAAAAATTTTTGGAGTGAGTTAAACAAGTTAAGAAAGCCTAGGGAAAGTATGGATTTGTCAGTTAAGAACAGAGTAGGGGAGTTAGTAGATGGGGAGAGTGAGGTATTAGGTAGATGGCGAGAATATTTTGAGGAACTTTTAAATGTTGAGGAAGAAAGGGAGGCGGTAATTTCATGCACTGGTCAGGGAGGTATACCATCTTTTAGGAGTGAAGAGCAGAATGTAAGTGTGGGGGAGGTACGTGACGCATTACGTAGAATGAAAGGGGGTAAAGCAGCTGGAGCTGATGGGATCATGACAGAAATGTTAAAAGCAGGGGAGGATATAGTGTTGGAGTGGTTGGTACTTTTGTTTAATAAATGTATGAAAGAGGGGAAGGTACCTAGGGATTGGCGGAGAGCATGTATAGTCCCTTTATATAAAGGGAAAGGGGACAAAAGAGATTGTAAAAATTATAGAGGAATAAGTTTGAGTATACCAGGAAAAGTGTATGGTTAGGTTATAATTGAAAGAATTAGAATGTAGGATTGCAGATGAGCAAGGAGGATTCAGAGTGGGTAGGGGATGTGTAGATCAAGTGTTTACATTGAAGCATATATGTGAACAGTATTTAGATAAAGGTAGGGAAGTTTTTATTGCATTTATGGATTTAGAAAAGGTATATGATAGTGGATAGAGGAGCAATGTGGCAGATGTTGCAAGTATATAGAATAGGTGGTAAGTTACTAAATGCTGTAAAGAGTTTTTATGAGGATAGTGAGGCTCAGGTTAGGGTGTGTAGAAGAGAGGGAGACTACTTCCCGGTAAAAGTAGGTCTTAGACAGGGATGTATTATGTCACCATGGTTGTTTAATATATTTATAGATGGGGTTGTAAAAGAAGTAAATGCTAGGGTGTTCGGGATTGGGGTGGGATTAAATTATGGGGAATCAAATTCAAAATGGGAATTAACAGTTACTTTTTGCTGATGATACTGTGCTTATGGGAGATTCTAAAGAAAAATTGCAAAGATTAGTGGATGAGTTTGGGAAGGTGTGTAAAGGTAGAAAGTTGAAAGTGAACATAGAAAAGAGTAAGGTGATGAGGGTATCAAATGATTTAGATAAAGAAAAATTGGATATCAAATTGGGGAGTAGTAGTATGGAAGAAGTGAATATTTTCAGATACTTGGGATTTGACGTGTCGGCGGATGGATTTATGAAGGATGAGGTTAATCATAGAATTGATGAGGAAAAAAAGGCGAGTGGTGCATCGAGGTATATGTGGAGTCAAAAAACGTTATCTATGGAGGCAGGGAAGGGAATGTATGAAAGTATAGTAGTACCAACACTTATATGGGTGTGAAGCTTGGGTGGTAAATGCAACAGCGAGGAGACGGTTGGAGGCAGTGGAGATGTCCTGTCTAAGGGCAATGTGTGGTGTAAATATTATGCAGAAAATTCGGAGTGTGGAAATTAGGAAAAGGTGTGGAGTTAATAAAAGTATTAGTCAGAGGGCAGAAGGGTGGTTGAGGTGGTTTGGTCATTTAGAGAGAATGGATCAAAGTAGAATGACATGGAAAGCATATAAATCTATAGGGGAAGGAAGGCGAGGTAGGGGTCATCCTCGAAAGGGTGTAAAGGAGGTTTTGTGGGCGAGGGGCTTGGACTTCCAGCAAGCGTGCGTTAGCGTGTTAGATAGGAGTGAATGGAGACGAATGGTGCTTGGGACCTGACGATCTGTTGAAGTGTGAGCAGGGTAATATTTAGTGAAGGGATTCAGGGAAACCGGTTATTTTCATATAGTCTGACTTGAGTCCTGGAAATGGGAAGTACAATGCCTGCACTTTAAAGGAGGGGTTTGGGATATTGGCAGTTTGGAGGGATATGTTGTGTTGAATGATGATGAAAGCATTTTCTTTTTGGGTCACTCTGCCTCGGTGGGAGACGGCCGACTTGTTGAAAAAAAAAAAAAAAAATCTTAATGGTATTAAAGGTACTGTATGGTAATGGCATCTTTAATGTTATCTTCACAGTGGACATGATTTAAAACATTAAACACAATTTTGTACTAACTTCTGCGGATACTACTACAATAACCAACTTTCCTCGTTTGAAAATGGACCTGTATTTATTATGTGGCACCTAGAGGAATGGGAGGCAATCAAGTTTGATCCTATTAAAAGGGGAGACTCGTTTCTTGAATTAAGAGCTCCAAACTGGCATCAAGGCACCTCTTGAGGGGAGACCGAGCTTGAAACAGTAGTCTCAGCACAAATCCACACCCTTCTAAAGAGCACTGCTTGTAGCCAGTGTGGGGCTCTGATTTAAGATTGGACCTGTGCTCCCCTTCCTTGGATCTAACCCACTGCTCAGGTACTATGACCCCTACAGATTTAGGACTGACCCCCATGAATGCAATAGTACAATCCACAAATTTCACACATTACCATTGACCTAGTCTTATGGCTGAAACTAATTACTTCTTGTTTAATTATGTTTTGTAGGAATCATATTTATTTTATTAACACACTAGCCATTTCCCACCAAGGCAGGGGTGTTCAGAAATCTATTTTTTCTTTAGTATATTTGGTAATGCCCTAGGGATACGAACAGCTCAAAACTCGAACAATTATGTATTTTTTTTTTTTTGGGGGGGGGGGGGGGGGGGGGGGGGTCGGGTCTCAAATGGATTAATCTAATTTACATTATTCCTTATGGGAACAAATTCTTTCAGTATTGGAACTAACAGCCTTCTGGAATGAATTAAGTTCGTATCCCAAGGTACCACTATTTCAAAATATTTTGCATTACCATCTTTTACACTGTAATGTAGTCTGCAGACAAGCATAAAATAATATGGTAAAGAATGAATAAAATTTTTAAATTAAAAGCAAAAGGGGCAACATGTAATACATAAGAGTACATTCAGAAAAAATGCAAAAAGAAAAAAAATAAGTGTGCAGAACATTTTCGATGGGCAAAATAAGGGTCTAATTTGCAGTGGCAATAAAGTTACCTTAATTCTGAAAATGCACACCTAACAGCTGTCTGGATTATGATTACCATTTATTTCTGTTTTTACTTTTATTACTGTAATATAAATTACAATTTTTTTTTATTTTAAAAGAATTTAATAGCACAACTGATTTTACTTTGCCAACAAATCAAACTTAGGCTAAGACAGTAAAAAAAAATTCATACAATAAAAGTTTATGAAGTAATGAACATGAATTTTATGATATACTGTATGGTGATGCAATTAATATACATAATGCAAATACTTGGTAGAGCATAAAATTAAAAATATCAGTAATTAAAATAAATTACTGTAGTATGAAGTGAACAAGCCGAGAGGACAACAGTACGGGTTACATTAATCTCTCTAAACTCGCACTGGCCCACTTTTGGCACAGTGCCATATGCTGAATATAACATTACTGGAGACAGTAATCTGCCGTGTTTGAATGTATAATACCATGACTTAAAAGACCAATGATACCTATGCTCTCCACAAAATTGCAGCTTTAAAGAAAATATAAAAATTCAGTCTACATTAACTGTCCATGGTATTGCATTCATTCATTTTCAGATTTTTTAATCTTTTCCTCTTCAATCAATTTCAATAAGCCTTCAGGAATTTTTCCCTCATCGATATCCTTCGCCCACTGACGATACTGAAAGAAAAAAGTCACCAAAGTTAAATTCACTACGTCACATAGTATTAGATATGGTAGTGTGCTACATATTTTTTTTTTTAAATGTGGAATCGTTCGACAATGCACAGGAATGACTATTTCTGGAAGAAAATGCTATCCCAAGGTATTCAAACTTACAAAACTGTGATACAATAAATGTTAAACAAGCATTATAAAAACAAAGCTACCATTTTCATTGACATGAAAAACATGAAATTATTCCACTATACTTTTCATTTTATTCCTTTTTAATTATTTTTACATCTTCGAATGCCTTGCTTTTTCTTAACACTGCATGAAGTTCCCACTACCATATGACATGCACCAAGAATTAATTTTTGCTATGCAACAATAGATACTAAGATTTTCTTAACACTATACATTTTTTTTTTTTTATCTAGGAACCCTCATAGTTTTAGCACTTCTTTGGATTATAATAATAATGCCCCTTAGGAGGATGCCGTGATGCTGATGCAGGGTTCTTGATCCAGATAACAGAATCTACCCTCTCACTGGATGAAACTTAACTGCCTTCCATTCCACAGGTGTTAGGTGCTCCCCCTATTAATGTAATCATAAATCATAATACTGACACTTGTTCCTCAATGGAGTTGTCTATCATAACCATACCATGTCATTTAGACATGGTAAGTATATACAGTGGACCCCCGGTTTTCAGCTGGCATGAAAATCGTACAATTCGAATTTCAAGCACTTTTTTTTGGCGAAATTTCGTTGTGGATTTTGTACATCCATGTTGGCACCAGACGCGTGGGCCTGGGCTGCTCATATGTTCGTAACTCACTCTTGGGCACATTATTATTATTATTATTATAATCAAAAAGAAGCACTAAGCCACAAGGGCTATACAGTGCTGCAGGGTAGGGAAGGAAGCAAGGGAATTGGATGGCAGAAGGGAGGGGGGGGATGATCAGCAGGTTACAGAAAACAGCGGGGCAGGGGATAGTACGGGGGTAGAGGGTAGCAAGAGATTGAAGTAGAAAGGGCTGAAGGTATCAGAATTTGTGAAGTCAGTCAGTTGTCAAAAAGTCAATGAGAGAGTCCAGATGAAAGGTGGGTCCATCAGCGAGAAGGGAAGGTAAAGAGAGAGCAGCGGAGCGAAGACGACGACAGAGGTAAATTCTGCGTGCTCGTTGATAAAGTGGGCAGTCCAACAGAATGTGGCTGACTGATAATGGAGCTTGGCAATTCTCACAGAGAGGAGCAAGACGCCTCTCCATGAGATATCCATGAGTAAGACGAGTATGGCCAATGCGAAGACGGGAGAGAGTAGTCTCCCAACCTCGACACTGGTGATGAGAAGATGGCCAGTAACCTATACTCGGTTTAAGGGGGCTGTAGGGCAAATTTCGTAAATCGTTTATTTACCGTCCGATTTTCTCCAGTTTTGGTGCACAAGACAAAGTGTTCTCACTCTTTCTCGAAAATATTTATAAAAAATATACCTCAAACAACAACTGAGAAAAGACTGATTTACTGAAAATGCCCTTGATTTTGATGCAACTCTTATATGCGGCTACGTAAGGTGGTTTGGACACTTGGTGCCGAGAGAACAATGCTAATACTAATTCGGACCGTAGGATTTCCCTCTAAATACTTATCGTTATTTCACAAAAAAATAAAGTTTGTTAGTTTCTGGAATATTGCAAAAAAATCTGCCCTTTCTCCCACATAACTCCCGAACTATTTGGAATATTTTCAAAAACTCTACGGTCAGGATAAGAGGAAATCATTATTCTACAATATCTGTGAATATTTTTTCCATTTAATTAAGTAATAAAGGAGCCACATCGAATTATAGGTGAATAAGTTACTTCCGAGATATCGGCGGGAACGGCCGGCCGGCCCCGTCTCAAAAAAAAAAAAAAAAAAATTCGCGAAAAATCGCGTTTGTTTGGGTGTATTTCTTAGTAAACTGATGTTCTAGTGCAGTTATCCTCTTCAAAAACACCGTTTTCTCTTACTCAGAGACGACAGGTGACCAGTTACACTTTTATATCGAAATATTCCGATAATCTCTGGGCCATATTATGGCCTATTTTATTCAGTCTAGAGTTATAAACTGTTTGTATGTTATTTGAGTGTTTATTATATCATATTAGATCAATTCTGATAGACAAATAAGCCGTAGAGTTGATATATAAGCTGATATAAGCGTAATAATGGGTGATTCCTGGCTGGCACCTCGAGCGGTGGCACACTGCTGAGCGTTCCCATCTGGTTCCCGGCAGTCACTAAGTCTCAGGATAAGTCCCGCCTACTGTTTTATGATGCCAAATAGTCAGTTATTATATTAGAAAGAATAATGCAAGAAAAGGCGATAAAAAACAAGAAAATAACTCCAAAAAAATATATAGGCCGTGAGCAGACTCGGTACCAAAAATCGCCGTCACCATTCCTGATATAAATGACTATAATTTCTTGTAGAAACGTCGTAGAAAAATTCATTCTGGTACCATTGTGTTGCCAAAAGAGTTGAGCTTTTTTTCGTTTATAACTCAGAAAAGTGGGGGGGGGGTGGGGACAAGGGGGTGATTGATCAATTTTTGTATACCCTGTAAAGCACAAAGGGGAGTTGAGAAAACCCACAAAGAGACAAAGGCATAGATGCAATACGGAAAAGTGCTGTAAGTGGCATATAATTCAGCAGAAAAAATACTAGCAAAGATGTAAATGCCCTTGTACGAGCTGTCGGAAACATGCGAAACCCTCGCCGTCGGGAAGACTTAGACCCCATCTGGTATACAGCAATGGCATGAGAATGAGAGTAAAAAGTGGTCAAGAAAAAGAGAGCGGGAAGCGACCTAAAATTTGGGCTTTCGGCAAGGGGAGGAAAGAAAGACTGAAAGGGAATTCCCCAGGGGGGGTGGGGGAAAAAGTGAGATGCTAATGACATGAAAGGTGGTAGTTAAAGAGAAGAAAAGGGAAATGAAGGCGAAGGGGAAAAGGGAGGGAGTAAAAACACGGGGCGGGAAAAAATAAAGAATTCTACTAATATCAGGCCCATTCTAAAAAAAGGAAGGTTGCGGAGATCATGAGAGGTACAAGTAGGCAGGCAAGGGGGCACACGGCGATGGAAAAGGATGGAACGTTCGCTTCTGCATAGAGGCTCTCGACAGGGGAAGAGCGAAAGCACCAAGGATAAACGAACCTTTGGTGATGAATGGGGTTTAAGGTAGAGAGGTGCGGAGATGCCGCTAAATTTGATTGGTCACCATAATCAATTTTCGAAAAAATAAGGGTGGAATGTAGGCGAAGGAGGGTTTGACGATCGCCCCCCCTAAAAGATGAGCAAGGGTTTTTTTAAGAAGGTTCAGCCGGCTGTGACAAGTTCCCTTCAGAGAGGTAATGTGGGGTTTTTCCGGAAAACCCTACGTCAAAGAGGAGGCCAGAAACTTGACTGATCACGTTCGGGGGTAGGGGAGCCATAGAGGTCAAAGGTGTCGGGAGACAGAGGTCTAGTGAAAGTGTTTTGGGGGGGTTTTTTTAGTGCTAAAAAATTTAAAAACCCCCAGTGTGGTGGCCCAATTGGGAAAAACCGGTCGATGCTTTTGGAGAGAAACTGTAATGAGGTAAACAGCGCGCCTGCACAGGAAAGGGTCAAAACATAGAGTGATGAAAAATATTTGAGGGAAACTAGAGGCCAAATCTTAAAGAAAGGAAAAAAAAGTGTTGTGCTCAGAACACACCCCTGGGGGACCCCTTCAGTTGGATAAAGTCGGGGAGAGCCATTATTAACCCCGAACCGGAAATGCCTGTCAGTTAAAAAGTTTTAAGGAAGGGGGGTAGATTCCCTCAAAGGCCCTTTTAAGGGTGGGCTTGGGCTAAAATTTTTATCCCTCCAAGTTGTGTCATTATCCTTTTCCAGGTAAAAAAAATAGGCAATAATGAGTGGTTATTCGCAAAGGCATTAGAACACGTATCCAAGTAGAAAGGGGGTTTTTGGGTAGAACGCCCCTTAAAAAAAGCCATTTTGACGAGTGGAGAGACGTTGTGTTTTCTAAATCCCACACAAAACGTTATTTATAGGCTTTCCTTTACTTTGAAAACTGCAGGGGTAAGAGCAATGGGAGATAGTGGGAGGTTTCATGCCCCGTAGTGCCTGGTTTGCGGAAAAAGGGAGAACAATGGGGTTTTCAAGCTGGGAAAAAATCCTTGTGCCCCAAAAAAAGATTGTAAAGGCATAATAGGACTGCAAGGGCGATGATGTAAATGTTGTAGATACGAATTGAATTTTGTCGGGCCCAGCTCCCGATGTTTTGACAAGCTGAGAGTGTTCCCTCCAGTTCTTAAAGTGAAAAAGGACATTATACTGTTCTTCTCTGAGGAGAAAATCCAAGGGTGTAATCTCTGGCAGACTTTGGGGGGAAAGAAATGAGGGGCATAGATGGAGTCCGGGAAAAATAGGGCCCAGATGATTGCCAATTCTTGGCAACATCTAGGGGTTTGCTATATCAACACGGAACCCGCAAAACAGGAGCTGGGGTCGGAGAAAATTTCCCACTCTTTTTTGTACTTTTTTTCCAGACTGCACTCGAGGAAGAGAGGTGTGGTGGAGACAATCTCGCAGAAAAGTGCGTTTGACCCGGAGGGACCGGCGAGCGGTCGCACATTCTGTTTAAAATCATGAGTCGCTCTGTGGTTCTATTGTACCCGGTACCTGCCCCTGCAGGCGTTTCAAAAGTACTGCCGGCACAAGCAGGAGACCACCAAGGCACGCATTTCTGAGAATGCTGCCCGAAGTTTTGGGGGTTTTAGAAAGAGAAGGCCGGGGGGGAAAAAGGAGGGGAGAAGGGTGTAAAAGTCATCGATGGGCGAGAAGGAACCTCTTTAAAAACAGTTAGGTGTGAGTAAAAAGGTTCCAATTTGCCGATTAAATTGCCAGGTGGGGTGTGAAGAGGTGGGAATATGAAGGGGGGGAATAAGAATGATTGGGAAAAAGATCATGTATGTAAGCC